CGGCAGTCGAAATGTTGCTGTTCGTCTTAAACGCCGTTACTTCAATAACGTGATACTTCCAACGCTTTTATACGGTTGTGAAACTTGGGCGGTGACTAAGAATTCGCTGCTGGAACTTCTTCGATGCCAAAGAGCGATGGAACGATTAATGTCAGGATTTCGCTTAAAGACCAAAAATCTTCAAAATGGATATGCTCTATCACGAAACTGAAAGATCGCAATAGCTTGTCGAAGAAAATAACGATTTGCTAGAAGAATACTTGGAAAAGAAGGCGACGAAAGATGGACAAACATGCTTACACGTTGGATTTTACCAACTGGCCGACATTTTGGTGATAATACCTAGAACGCGATGATCCGTAAGCATTGCAAGATATATAAGCTTAATTGTAATTGGCAGGAACTAAGAATGGAATGTGCTGTATGGAAAACACTTGGTATTACATATGCGGTCCCACTACTGACATAATGAAGCCTTACATAATATCATCACGGTCTCTTGCATGAACAATGTAAACCGTTGAGAATGAATAAAAGATAAAGGTAAAGTTCATTTACCTTGAACACGCTCACGAACATCTTCACCTTCACATCTATTACTTTTTCCGAATGCGAATGAAAAACAGCGTGCACTAGACCTCAGTTTCATTAACAAAAATCAAGTCCAAGTCAATTTCCTAAGTTTTGGTCTTTTTCAAAGGTACTCTAAACTTCAACACATCAGGAAATTCCAGGGTCGGTAGTAATCTGGTCGAAACCCACAGTTACTCTGACTTAACTCTGAGTTATATCTGAGCTAACGCGCACCTTTCTTACCCGCTCAACAAGTGCTTGAATGGACCAAATCTAGAAAGCGATGATAGGCAGGAGACTCTGTAACCAATAGTTTAATTCTAGTAGGAAAACGTCGTCGAAATCGTTCTGCACAAGAAACAGCGCCACCAAACGCGCAGCTGTGCTTTGCGATAACTCTGAGTTTGGTGCGCGTTACAGTCTATCGCGGAGCTCAGAGATAACTCCGAGTTTGGTCAGAGAAAGAGAAATAGTATACAGAAGAAGAGGGGCAGTTAAAAAGTCCTCCGGAGTACATTTTGCTCGTATTTTCAGCAGATGGGGATGGGGGAGGGGGGTGCGGTGCGTCGGTATCTACAAAATTTTGAAATCTTGCAAAACCTTGCAGGAGGTTATGCGGTGCGCTGATCACGAATATGGCACTCATTTTTTATTTTTTCACTTTGGGATCATAAAGTCATGTGACGGTGGGTCTAAAAGTTTAAAGTCTAAGTTTAGGTTTTGAAGTTTACTCAATGACGCTCATGAAGAAAGTGAAAGACGCTTTTGGAAAAAAACCATCAAAATCCTGGCGTCCCTGGATAGCGAAAAATCGGTGGCATTTACATACTGCGACAGAAATGGCGCATCACGATTACTGTACAGACTACTGCGCCAGGACCACAAAACATATACACTCCCCATTGAGTGTTGTAGCTTGATCTCAGACATTCGCGTTTGAGTCGCGCAGGACAAAACGAGGTGTCGTCACGGAATGCCTGCGCGACTATCGAAATCGGTGTCGGGGCAAAATCAGGACACCTGATTTTGGCAAAAGTGCCCTTCTCATGCCCCTGAGTCCGAATATCAAGTCGAAAATCCGCGAAAATCCCAACAATTTTCGTTCCCAGGACCCGCAGGGCGGCTTCTCCAGAGCGGTGATTGGGTGGGTGCACACGGATGGGCGGGACGAACGTCACGTCCACTCAAAGGGGAGGAGCCAACGTGGCAATCCGCCATCCGAAGCGATTTTTGAAGCAATTTCCTCGATTCGGAAGCAAATTTTGGCAGCCCTAGTTGAGCAAGTCTACAGTTGGGGGCCCCGCTCGTGCCAGGCATCAAAATCTCATCGACCCCATTTTGGGTTGACGGTGCCTTTAAAGGCAGTGTCCCGGCAGATTGTAATTACATCTTTTTGCATGTTTCGGGCCTTTTCGACCCGTGATCCCGAATTTGACTGAAATGTGAAAGACCTTTTTCGGGGAATTTATCCAATTTCTAGAAATCAGCTCGGACGAGAATCGATGAAAAGTTGGCCCTGGCACGAAGACCCTGCTGCCTGTAATTTTTGCTTTGGATAGCATGCACAATGCGAAAGAGCGGTCGTGGGGTCCAGCGCCGAACGGTAAGCGATTCGTCCGAGCGCGCGCCGATTGAGATTGCGCGCCCCGCGGTTCAAGGGCTATCTCGCTCAACCAGCCGTACTGCGCCTGGAGGTCAGTGGGATGACCAGGAACTCCACCGTAGCAATTTCAGGGCGCGAATCTGCCGGGACACTGCCTTTGAGGTACCGTCATAGTTCGCTTCGCCGAGAAAGGCCCAAAAGGCCAGAAACAGCCTGAACGCCCCCTTCCGCGCGCACGTTTTGGCGTTAAGGCATGTGTGCTGATTTCGCAACCGAGTCTTCTTTTTGGTTCATTTTCTGTCGTCTGCATGTCAAAATAATGTCAGAATTCTGCCAGAAGTTCGTTTCTGCGTTCTGGCTCTTTCTGGTGCTTTCGGGCTTTTTCGGGCTTTTTTGGACCTTTTTTGAGCGCTTTTGGGCTTTTTTGGGCGCTTTTGGGTTTTTCTCGGCGAAGTACGACGGGTCCCTAATGCTCAATGCTAAATGCAAATCATAACACAGTTCCGGCACTGCGCTAGAACTGCGAGCATGTGGCGTACGCGCCGCAGCCGCGCGCAATCAGCGTTATGTCGAGTTGAGTGAGAGTTTTTGAACATCTCCATCGCTGTTTCCTTATGAACTTTTGTAAAAAATTTTCGTTGAAACAAGTGTGTTTCCATTTGTGTGTTTCTTGGATTTTACCGTTCGTTTCCTTCTGTTTTTCTTATTCATTTTACTTGTTTTATTACTTCAAGAGGCGAGCGTCGACGGTCCGCTAGCTGCCGAAAAAAGGTTCCTATTTCCTCCACCTAGCCAGTTGCGCTCACTCATGGATCTCCCTCGAAGTTGGAGCTAGGAGACCGTCCATACTATTCCTGTGATTCCTGCAATTCCTGCGATTCCTTTGATTCCTGCGGTTCCCGTAAAATTTATATTGCGAGAGAACAATGTATGCTGAGATTCGCAAAGCGCTCCGTAGTGCGGCACATCGGAAATCGAGAGGTGCAGACCGCTCGCACCCGCGACGCAGTCTGCGTTTCCCCTGCGAGCGTGCTCTCTGATCACTCCCTTGCCTTAATTAGGCCTCGAGGCCCAGCCTCCCAACCGCCGATCCCGTTAAATTTAAGGGTACATCATCGATGCACTGCCTCCGCAGACAACTCTGAGTTGCTACCGCAGGACGAAGGAGCAGGAGCAGTATTAGTTGATCGACGCGAATGGTGCGCGCGTATCGTCACCGTTGTAAAACCTGCACCTCATGCGCTCTGCGGTTAATAAAGCCGCGTTCGCGCCCAAAGATATCGCGCGTTAGTCATGCAGCAGTCTGTTCGAGGGCGGCTGTGGCAAATGTCGGCGCAAATGAAGATCTTTGGCGATAGAAAGTCTTTCGGCGTTTTTTTATACATCTTGCTAGTTTTTTGCTCATTCCTGCCCTCTTCATCTTTGAGACTTTTTTCGTAACGAGAGGGAGCGGAATACTGTCTGAGGCAGAACTAGCGAGATTCGTAAAGAAGCGACGTTTAATATGTCTAGAACTCTCGCCGGTTGACGCCAATTGCCCCCAGCTGCAGCGCGTACTGCCAGTTCTGCCGCAAAGGCATTCTTGTTATTTCTCAGTCTTGGACATGGGAGTGGAAAGGAGTGAGAAAGAAGCTATCGAAAGTTGCAAAAAAGGCTTTGGAATTTCTTGGTGCCCACTCCCTGAAGGAACCGGCCAAACTATTCCGGGAGGTGATTCCTGTGATTCGTGTTTCCTGCAATTCCTGTAATCCCTCAAATCCGATGTGCCACACTACGGAGCGCTTTGCGAATTTCAGTATACATTGTTGTTTTTTTTTTCGCAATATACATTGTTGTGGTCCGCAGAAATCACAGGAATCGCAGATATTGCAGGAATCACCGAATAGTATGGCCGTTCCCGAAGGCTTTATGCCGCTTGCGTTGCAAAGCGTGTGGCACGGTATCCGCACAGTTCCAGCGCAGTGCCGAGATTGTTCCTTCATTCGAACATCGGTGTGAACCGAGCACTACGTTTCGTCGCACTTTCGTGACTGTTTTGAAGGGCCTCATGTTATGAGTGTGACAAGGAAGAGTCGCGAAGTCGAAGTGGCTGGTCACTTCGAGACGCATATTATCATAAAGAGCTTGAAGCCCTGATTTCAAATCTGCCTTCCATGTCTGCAGAACCCTTCTGTGAAAGAAGTCATGGATTTTTATTTGCGGGAATTTTGCAAGGCTGTGAGTAGTCAGAATCATCACCTAAGCATTTTGGACTCAAACCCTCCTGAAAGAGCTTATCCATGTTCAGTGTGATGCTGAACCTTTTGAATGTTATCTTGCAGTGCAACAAGCAGCCCTAACGATCTCCATAATTTGTAGTCTTAAAACCGTAAATTCAATTGATAAAAACACCCACAAGTTCCTTCCCAAAAGCGTTCTGCGGTTAGGTAGGTGCCAGAGTAAGCAAATATTTTGTTCAGGTTGGGGTCCCGCGCAGAATTGACGTCTCTCACCATGCTGGCGTCAATCCAAGTGACGTCAATTCTGTGGGACCCCAACCTGAACAAAGTATTCGCTTACTCTGGCATCCTTATCGAAGGCAGATTTGAAATCAGCCCTCCAAGACCTTTGTAATGGTATCAGTACTGTGGTAGTCAGCCACACTGCGCGACACGCCTTTGTGAGTGATGCCTGCTCCGGCTGAATGTCTACCCGATGCTTTGTTGCTGTCAACAGTATGAATCCATATTTTACGGGAATGTCGGACGTGTCGTGTCACTATGCAGTGGACTCCAAGACTACCACCATATGAGAAGTCACATTACAGCTTTACATGCACTTTTGCAGAGATGGGTCGAGGCGGAGGTAACCGAAGGCAACAAGCACGGGCGGTAATTGACCGAGATTTTGGGTAAGAATATAAGTATGCTCTTTCTCGGATTTATTGTATATGCTTGATATTGAGTGTGCAGATGCATCTTCTATTTTGGTGGAAATATCTGCATAAGTGTCTTCACTAAACCTCACAATGTAGTAGTCCTCATCTCATCGCCTTGTGTACTTGCGATGTCATACATTTGCACTCCCAAATGCAGAAGCAAGAAATGGCGAGGCGTTTTTTTCTGCTTCTTGCAATGATCCTTGTTACTTTGCACAATGGTTCTATACTACTTTTCAACTCTGACGATGACTGCACCGCCCGCTCTACTGCAGAATTGCAGAAGTTGTGCAATACAAAAAGCGACTGTTGGAATGAAGCAGCATTGATTATGCATGTTTTTAGGAATGCTAACACTGGAAACTTTTCCTTTGAACGTAAGCCCATAACCAAGTTCAACTGCTTCAAACATTTCTCGTCTTCTCAGTAAGGAGAACTTTCTACGTTTTTAGTGCCCATAATAACCGTTCCTAGATGCATACAATTAAGTTTCATGTCGGGAATGTGGTCACAAGCGCCGGTATCAAGTGGAATGTGGATTCGAAGCCTTCCGGTAATGCACCTTTAATATGTTTTCGCAAAGTAGAAATGAGATTTTCATGCCGCAATGGACGAAAAGTGTGTGGAACAGGTGTGCGAACTGTTGAAACAGGCCGTACAACAAGAAGTACAGCAACAACAACAACAACAACAACAACAACAACAACAACAGGAAATGCAACTCAAAAGCATTTCCGGTCTTAGCATCGAAGAGCTTTACAGGAACGCCTATACAATGGTAATGATCTTGAACGAGGTCGGCTCTTTGCACAAAATTGTGTAGATACACGTTCAAGTTATCAGTAGCATTTTGCAAAACAATGCGTATACATGTAAGAGTCAGACTTTTTTTTATGGAGCTCTGAGTCTGATTTCGATTATATGCTCAATCTTGATGTATTGAGCTCTTATAGGTGCACACGTATCTACCCATGGCTGCGCAAAGTGTGCCCCATACACTAATGCGAATTTCTACGGCGCGCAGGATCCTCGTTGTTGGATCACTCTAGACATTGTGGACTTGGGCCACAAACCTACCTTCAGTAGTTTTTCAGGGGGTGGGGGAACGAAAGCCGCCAGGTCCAGCCGCCTTTCGCGGCCAGCTGGTCCCTTCGCAGCGTTGTTGCATGTCGTTCCAGGACCAGCAGTCCGCGGAGGCGGCTGGACCTGGCGGCTTTCGTTCCCCCACCCGTTTTTCAGGTTGTCCATCAACAATGTCTCTGTTTTAACGTGAGATGGAATTCCATGTATCTAATCGTCAGTAAAGTAGCAGCATAGCTACTCTAAAGTTTCCTTCTTCTTGTGTAGTGCTAGAACGGTTCATCGCCTTTATGGGCGCTATTCCACATTAGTTGACCCAAAAAATGAAAGCCGCGGATTTCGCTGAAACTTCGTCTAGAGGAGTCGTTTTGCACGCTGATTACGAATTTCACACTTATTTCGCTCTAGTGCCATCCGGTGGAGTTACGGTAGGATTACGGTAGGGGTCAGAACCATGGATTTGCCTTAAACTTCGTCTAAAGGGGTTATTTGGTACGTTGAACGTGAAAATCGTATTCATTCTACGGTAGCGCCATTTTTTAGGCTACGGTCGGTATACGGTAGATGGCTAAGAATCCCGAATTTGCTCAAAACTTTGCCCAGAGGGGTTTTTGGGCATGCTGATTGCAAATATTAGGTTGTCTCATAATCAATGCACGTTTTATGAATTTCCACTTCTAATCAAGATAATTCTTTTCCAAAACCATCTTTTCAAGCGCAATACAAATCACTGCAAACAACAAACCATTGACTATAGAATCCATGCTTTTGTTGGATCACAGCCACATTAAGAAAGATTTTATAGCCTAAAAAATTCCCGAACATTTTTTTAGAAACCTACACTTTGAGAGAGCTTAACTTTCTCTTAAACGTACTAGGATCGCGCGGACTTCGCTTATTATATAGCCGATGGTCGGTTATGCAATGGAGTGAAGTTTGAATTTTACGGCATATTTCTATGAGAAAATTTTGCAAAAAAACTGGAAGTACTCATTTTTTTCAATATTTTAAAAAATCCAAAAACTGCCTTTTTGGGATTTTTCAAATTTTTTTGTCTTCAAAAAAAACGATAAAATGCTGCCATTTTCCTAGCACTAGTTGTACTAGGTCTACTCTACGCGTACATAATCTATACAATCGAAATCTATACAGTCGCTCTTCGCTTGAGAATTTTATGCGGCTTAGATGGACCTCAGCTACCAGCCAAGTTTGAGACAAGATTTCTCTACTCGGAATTCTTCAAAAATCTCGCACTGACAAGCGTTTTGTAGCGCAAAGCTTCGCGATCATTACTCTTATTTTTTGAAGAGAATCCTTCTACTTTTCATGGATTTAAAGCAATGAGAGTGAAGGGAAAAAATTCCATATTTTAATCACTTGTTTTTGAAGGCGTGAAACTTCGGCTTCAACAAAGATTTGCGAAAACGAAAGCACAGGTTGGAAGCTAAAGTAATCGGGCTTTTCGATGCTATAGGGGTTTTGAAGAAAAATGTTTCTCCTTTAAAAATCAGCTTTCTCAAAAAGAGGTTAGAAAAACGTGCATTAATTATGAGACAACCTAATATTATGCTGGATCGCTGCAGCAATGCCAGATTGTTGGAGTTACGATGAGCTAGGTTGCTTGAAAGAGCAACTTTTTTGGTTTGTAACAAAAACTAGATCCCAAAAATCCATGAAAAGGCTTTTCCGTGTGAGACGAGTGCAGTGTATACGTGATCAGCACATTATATGACACCCCTGCACAGAAGTTCGAGCAGATCTATCACTTTAGTAACCTACCGTACACCATCGTAATTCCGCGAAAAACTTCCAAAGCGCAAAAAGAGCGTGGTATTCATAATCCAGCATGCTTAGGAACCCCTCTGGGCAGTTTTGAACAAATTCGGGAATCTTAGCCATCTACCGTATACCCACCGTAACCCGAAAAATGGCGCTACCGTACGAAATGAACACGATTTTCACGTTTAGCGTATTAACCCCTCCAAACGGAGTTTGGGCAATTCCGTGGTTTTGACCTCTTACCGTAATCCCACCGTAACCCCACCGAATGGCACTACCTTGCGAAATAAATGTGACATTCGTAATCAGCGTGCCAAATAACCCCCTTAGACGAAGTTCTAACGAAATCCGCGATTTTCATTTTTGGGCCAACAATAGTACCGGCAAGTTGGAACTTTTACCTAACTGCTCTATCTTGTGCCATTGTTGGCTCCTAACAAAAAACGAAGAGGAGTTTTCTTTTTTTGTCTAACTTTACAAAACTTTTGTATTCGACTGATGTTTGGAACTTGCAACGATTTTAAAAGTCCCATTGACCTGAGGATCAAGTCTGATTCGGGACGATTTTGGAGGCATACCTGTTCTTCATGAGTGCATCGCTATTGAGCAGCTATTAGGTTGTCCGGAAATTAATGCCCGTTTTGAATTCCAACCGCAATAAGTAATACACTTCTCACTTCTAAATAGGTTGCAGAGTACCATTCGATAGAGCAAAGCAAGCTCTACAAGAAGGCCGTCTTGCTTTAGCAACAACTTTGATCCACCACGAGTTTCGAGCCAAAAACTAAAAAGATTCATTGTGGTGAGTAGTTAGTATGCCAGCACGAGGTTAGTAGATTTATTGTTAGTAGTGGCGGCCTAACGAAATCTACTAACCTCGTGCTGGCATACTAACTACTCACCACAATACAACTAACTATGCCGAGGTTAAGAAAGGAGGAAACATGGAAGTTAAAAAGATTCAACTGCCCGAAAAATTGAGAAAAATCGTAACTCAGTTCATAAAATTCCTACAAAAATTTTTACTTGCTCACGTAAACACTATTCCCATAAGACATCTATATACGCCTTTGCCATATTTTTTTCTCTGTTAGAAATCAAGTAAACGGAAATTTTCGTGCATTTACCAAAGTGTTGCTGTGCCGTTCCCACATTGGTAGTTGTATACCACGAGTCTGTAGAAATAGATACATAATTTTTCAGCTCTCTACAAGCTTTAGTTCTCGAGAAATTTGAATTTTAGCTTGAATCACTTAACTAGGGAAAGCTACATTCGGTATTTATCGAGAACTAAAGCTTGTAGAGAGCTGAAAATTTAAGTCTGTACTTCTACAGGCTTGTGGTGTACAACTACCTATGTGGGGACGGCACAGCATCACTTTACCAAATGCACGAAAATTTCAGTTTTCTTGATTTCTAACAGAGGAAAAAATACGGCAAAGGCGTACATAGAGGTTTTATGTGGATAGTGTTTACGCGAGCAAGTAAAAATTTTTGTAGGAATTTTATGAACTGAGTTACGATTTTTTTTGATTTTTCGGGCTGCTGAGTCTTTTTAGTTTTTGGCTTGAAACTCGAGGTACATGAGAGCTGTTGCAAAAGCAAGATGGTCACCTTGTAGAGCTTGCTTTGCTCTGTCGAATGGTACTTTGCAACCTATTTAGAGATGAGAAGTGTATGACTTATTGCGGTCTAAATTCAAAACGGGCATTAATTTCCGGACAACCTAATATGTGCACCTTTCAAGGAGTAAGAACTGTAGACTAGTGATTGGTCATGTTAGGGAGTTATCAAAGCAGAAAACTACATACATAATACAAAGCTTAGCGATGCATGCTAACAACCTGAATTTTGATACGCAGTCCCTGACTTATATTTGATCAGTTGTTTGTAAGCAGTCATCGATAGCAACATCAAGTTGCGAAACATGCACTGTAATGTTTCGGCTGTGAAAAACCCACGTATTTTGTCAGCCCACAGCCTCACCACAAATTCATCCCTACACCTTCGCATCAGTCTTAAACAGCGACTCCCTAATCAGACGTGCGGGACTGCTTCCATGATTGCTTTTACAAAAGGAGTTTAGTCTACATGTTTTCAGGAGGACAAACTGACTCAAAACATGTAGACAAGGAGGACAGACTGACTCACAAAAAGATTGTCATAGAGCAGTTTTTAGTTAAAGGCACCAAGATGGTTCCTGATGAAGGAAGTTTCACTCCTCTCTCTCTTATTCTCAGTCAGGTTTACACGAAACCATTACCGAAGACTTTAATTTTGAAAAACACATATTGTGCGCTTGATACATTGATGGTTTATTCCAATCATATTAGATGCCCACTCGCGCCTCAATACAGCTTTAGGTATGAACGCATGTCAAAAACGAAAGAGTCTGTGGTACTATCCAACAGTCCATCGAATGGTAACAGAACACTTTAGATTGTTTTTTGCCACGAATCAATTTTTATAAGCAAAAACTTTCAGAACAAACATGCTTTAGTTATCCTGATAAGATTACTCCAGCATCATTAGAATTTTTTCTGTACAACTCACGCTACAATTTGTGGTATGGATCTTGGAAAAACACCAATACTTTCACAACTGCGATGGTCACACCGCTTTTACTGTATGCAAAGAACATGCTTGCTAGATTTCCACTGCAATCAATTGTATGCCAACTACGGCAAGAACTGTATGCAAAAAATCACTTAGCTGTGTGCAAAGAATCACAAGTTCACTATGTTTAGCGCGCTCTGGGAGCATAAACCATGCACACCGGCTAACTTCGCACCATGGAGCGCGCTTTGCGCAGCCATGTGTAGATTTACAGGGCTCCTAAATTGCAGAGGCGTTTACACCAGCGGTCGCGCGACCGCTTCGCGCCCTGGCATCAATGGCGCCGCCTCGATCGATGGCGCCGGCGCCGGCAAAATGCCCGGGCGCGACGCGGTCGCGCGACCGCTGGTGCAAACGACTCTGCAATTTAGGAGCCCTGTAGGTACGTGTTTATAGATGCTGCACAGATTTGGACAACAATTATATATGGGACTGAAGCAAGTCGTTGAGTATCATCTCAACAATCATGTAAGTGGCGCGAACGAGTGCCATTATTAGTAGAAAATTTGAAGACCGACCATTCGCTCGTTGCGTAGGGTTGTCTTCGTGCCAGAAGGTGGGCGATTAATCGCACGCAGAGACTGGGCTGCCGTTGCATACCAGACAGTTCGATTTTGGAAGAGGCGGCAGACAGTAAGAGAGTGGAAGAGTGCTTCATTGAGAGGCGCCTTGTCTCCGCATGCGGCCTCCTTCTTCAATTCAAAACTACAGTTTAGACTGTATGACTCTTCAAGAATTACCAGACAAAGTGCTTTGGCTTACATGCTGTTCGAACTTGCTAAATTCACGACTTTTGCTGGAAACGTGATCAAAATATTCACGAATTCGGCCCGTATGCACTTACAGGCCGGTAAAATCCAGTAGCCCGCGCCTAGCTATGAACACCGGAGCGCGGAGGTTGGAAACGTTGGTTTCCGAAGCGTTGTAGGGTTGTCAAGATGACTCATGCATGTAATATACCCCCCCCCCCTCTTCCGCAGGCGAGACGAAGACGTAAACAACTTTGTCGTTATGTGCCGGTGCACATGCACCGAGCCGTGGCTCATGATGGCAGTGGCGCCAGTCTTAGATGATGTTGATCGAGAAACCTAACCAGCAAAGTGACTTGCTAGACAAGCTAAACTGGGAAGGGGGAAGGTTACCCAGCTGTTTTCGTTATGCATTAGATTACTATATCGCAATAGCGAGCAGCAATACGAGCCCGGACAGCTTCCGCTAGCAAGGTTTTGGGGTTTCGGAAAACATCAGTCAAAATATAAAAAGCATATTGGATGAGGTACAAAAATTATTGTGAGCTGAAGGAAAGCAAGATGGAGGTGCCCAATGCTGGAAGCACGAGAACTATGGTCTTAATGCCACAGAACTGAGATTGGGGTAGAGTAGAGGAAGTTGATACGAAAGAGGGGAGGGGAGCAGGGGGCAGTGGGCAAACTTGGGGAGATTAGCACTTTGACTCCAGCAAAGGCAAAGATATGCGCACGTTTCCAAGCAAATCAGAGATCAAAGCTTTGAGCGGTCCTGACAGGAGAAGCTCAAGAATGGTTTTTGGAATGTAGTCGAAAGGTAAACGAATACTAGCAAAATATGGCGCAAACACTTTGATATTGCTAAATTTACATATTGATATTATCGACATTCAGACATTTTCAATGAAAAGGATAAGAGTCAGATTTTTCCCTGATCAAAGGGGCCGGGGATCTTTCCGCGGTTTTTCGAAAATTATGCATTTGGGGGAAAACAAATAATAGAAAAGCTGAAAGTTGAGGGTTGGAAGGTTGAGATTACTCTCTCTGTTTATGCACAAATTTTTAGATTAGATTTTTTTGATAAAAATCTAATCTAACCTCAAGAATATGAATAGTGTGGCACAATTTTGAATAAATAAGGGACTAGGAAAATAAGGAGATTTTTGGAAAGAAAGCAAAATATGCTCATGCTGATGAGCATTCAGGGCAGAGAGGGGGGGGGGGATTGGAAACAGGGGTGGGGATTGCAGCGCAATGTCACAGAAGAGCTTTCAGTTTCTTCCAAAAAGTTTTCCAGATGACTTAGATGGCAAACTAGTCCAAGTTGCACAATCTCAGGAGATTTGGCTATTTTAGACCCAGCAAGCTGATATTCTAAAACTGTATATCTTCCATATGCCAAAATTTGGGGATTTAAGAAAAGCTCTGCTGTATATTTCATTCACCTCAACATGTAAAACCTAGAGAAATTTCACTTGCTTCCCGTTTTCGCTATTAGCAGATGTTTGCAGACACCTACTTCTTGACTAACCTTAAGAAGAGGCAATGTGCCAAACTTCTACGCACACACACGGCCAGACCGAAGTGCCGCGAAGCGGCACTTCGGTCTGGTCATAAACATAAGGCGAAACTACTGCTAACGTGCTTTTACGCACTTCAGATGGTCCAGTGGGCTCTTGCCAAAGGGTCCGTGTTTTATTGGCACAGAGATAGAACTTCAATGATCGAAAGCCCAACATAATGGCCCAATAGCCCAATAAATTGCTTCACCGCTGGACATTCTTGGAAATTGCACCTTTTTCTGACACTAGTGGTTTTTTAAGAGCGTCATGCACTTTACCAAAGCTGTTACCTAGAAGATTTGGGAACTACTCCGAGTACCTTATAAGGCAGATTGTTTAGTTTATGAGCCAAAGGGGCTAAATAGGGCGCTCTGCAACAGAAAGTCGCGACGCTTCCCTGCAGCGGGACGGCCATTGGTAGCACCTTTGTGAACGCTGAGCCTTTCTATCACTCTTCGTTTCATTTGCAGTCGAAACTGTTGTCAGATGGAAGGAAAACCTTTTAAATTTGGACTTTGCAATCAATACATCATCTAAAATCAATGCATCTCATACAAACCAGTGAGTTCACGTAATCTTCCTCATGGCCAACCTATACAGGGCTTTTTGTTGACATGGTGATCAGTTATGAGTTGATCTTCTTCTCGCCGAATTATTGTGGTCGATCTGCAGCCGAATTTATAACAAATAGATAGATAAAGAAATGCAAATCCTTGAGGAGCCGCCAGGTTATTGTTTCTTCCGCTGCGTTTGCATTCGTCAATAGTCATTACATTATTTTGAAGGTATCATGGGTGACATCATACTTTGCATAAGAGGGGAAGAATGACTACGTTGTTCAATCTACGATTTTGAGAAACTTCACAAAGCTGTAATATCTGGTATCTTGTTTGTGCTTGTCGTCTCCAAACGTACACATTAATCCGTTCTTTCCTGTATACTTTGTTATGAAATTGTTCGACTGTGGATGTGCTCGATCACCCTACTCTCTGCCTTCATTCTTTCGAACACTTCAACAATTTAAACCATGTTGCTGTTCTGAATCACAGTTCTCGACTTGTAGCGGAAAGATTGGACGCTTTCAAGCATTTTTCACCTAAATCTATTTAGTTATTCGACTTTAGCTGAAAGAGAGGTTGCTTTCACGTATTTTCCACGTAAATGTGTTTATAGAACTTGCAACAGCCTTACCTAGAGCGTGTCATTGGCGCGACAGTCTGCCCCTTACAAATATCCGAGGTGGGTTATCCGAAAACGGTTTCTTGTTTCCTGCCTTTGCATGCTTCTTATCTTTTTATTACAGTTCGATCGCATTTCACATGAATACAAATCATGAATGCACCTTTTTTAAACATCTGACCTTACATCGTCTTGCCTAGTATACATACATGCACAAAAAGATCCAGTTTTTAGTGTCTCTACAAGAATGAAATCTTCGTCCTTCACTTTTCCAGTGTACGAAGACTGTTATTTATTAAGTGTGCACTTCCTATCACTAAATCGCTGACCGGGCAACCAGTTATGAGTGCTCTCATCTGCAGGGCAACTTAGAACTAAAACATTCTGCAGAATTTTGCATAACTGGGGTGAGGCAGACGTCGAGATATCGTGCTTTTGTCAGCGGTGAAAAGCGAGCACATCCCTCAGATGTAGTGAACATGGTAATATGAACAGGAACGTGCCAGATGTGGTTATTTTTAATAACATTCTCTGGAAAAATTCACTTTATGGTCAATGTCCTGTGGCGTGGACATTTCTTTTGATCTAATCTATCTATCTATTTATCTATTTAATTTAATATATAAAGAATCACTAGCTCAATCCAAAAATCTTTCAATGGCGGGAAACCCGTAGCGAACGTTCCCAGATCTTGTAGTTTTAGATTATTGGCTCACTAGTATAAGCAAAAGATGCATTTGAAACGACAGGTTTTTCTTGAGAAATTTCCGATCTGTTTTTATACGCGAGTATCAAGAACTTATTTTCTCCGTCACTTGGAGGTCCCTTTTGAAAATGCTGATTGCATGTTGTTTGCCTCAGATTATGTTTGGAGATGTGACTTGAGATAGTGTCTTTTGCTATGTGCAGGAGTTTTAGTCTTTAATAGCGCTTTTCTATGCCTTCAAAATCTACATGAGATGCCTTGTATTTCAGCGACACAAGCTTCTGTTGATCAAACGAGCGACAGTGGTACCTAGTTGCTGGTAATCATCAAGTTTATTTACTTGTTCTTAAAAATGTCAAACTGTAGTTCAAAGCATGTTAGACCAATCCTGTGGTAGGGTGTGATCGTTATCAGCTGTGAAAAACTACTTTGTCCTTTGAAAAGTCAAAGTCGTTCAGTGTCGTAGATATCTACAGGGACTACTTCATGAATGTTATCAGAGACTTGGATCCATTTCTGTGATTCTTAATACGCCTTGTATTCTTTGGAGTAATTTGATGATATCATTCCTTCTGCATGTTGAGACGTGTGAATATGTAAAACTATCCTATCAAACTAATTTTCCCATGATGTTCGTGCTAGGACAATCACGAGTCCAGTTTTAATGATATCATTTTAGGAGTTTTGTGGATAAGAAGTTATTATATGCAGTCTGCCATGAGGCCAAATTTATAACGTGAGTCATTCATTGGATTTGATCAAGTTTTCGCAACAAATCAGATTTCATGCATTTGTTTACGGCTGCGCTATTCACATTTAGCATCTTCATTGTTGTCACAAGTTTTGACAGTGTGTCAAGTTCATCAACAAAAATCTTTGAAAATAATGCGAAAAATTATACACTCCTTTGAGGAATACGACAAGTCAGGTTTCAGAACTCTAAAGTAGTAAATGTGAAAAACGTTAGAGGTTTTAAACCATGTTTGTTGTTCTAAACTAATATACTAGCATACCTAGGTTATCGCACTTTGTATTTATGATCGGCTTCCAGATTCGCACAGAAGGCGGATTGCGGACCTTTGGTAATGTCGATAAACTTGTCAAACCTCCACTTACAGCATTTCTTTTCGTACTCTCTCTCGCCACCAGAAACGCCACGTTTTGAGCTGCCACGACTCCGCCTCTATATACGACTCTGGAAGCCGATGATACATGTCAATAAGCAACTCCTTTTTCCGT